AAAAAGAATTATCTTGTTTTAACCCAATGTTGAAGAAAAACTAACAATGCTAATAATAACAACAATTACTAAGGACTAACCATGAAGCAGGCACTATGATAAACATTTTATTTAGTCCTCATCCCTAGGTGGGTAGTACTATATCACTTCCCCTAATTCAGAGATGAGAAAACAGGCCCTGCCTGATGGGCTGCTTTCTGCCGCAGCATCAAAACTCCTAAAATCTCAGTGGTTGAACCCAAGCGAAGTTTTGCCCATTACTCATATGACATGTCCGCTGGGGGTTGGCACCAGAAGCCTCTGGTCACATCAGTCACTGGGGGACTCCAGACTGGTGGAGGCTAATCTCAAAGAACAGAGCACAGGGCTGGCAGCCCAGGAGACCTAGGGTCCAGGACTTTATCAATCAGGGTCCTGGCAGGAAAGAGATAACACCCTCCAACTGAGCAATTTGAGAAGTATTTAGTGAAGGGATTGTTTATAGAAATGTGGGCAGAGTATGGGAAAACCACAAGAGAGAGGAAAGTACGTGCCGCTGAAAACAGGGACTATCCCATACTATCTCTAAGCCCAGAGGGTCCAGAGAAGGCGAGGCTGCCTGAACCAGGAGCTGTGTAGAGAGGGTCACCTGATAGGATCTGTGTCCTTTGATCAAGGGACACAGGCAGCCCGCAAGACCCTGCATCTCCACCCTCCCTCCAGTCTCCCACTGGTGCTCTCCTGTGGACAAATCCAATGGGAAACCAGAAGGCAAAGGAACCTTTGAAATCTTCCATACAAATCAGCCTCCTGGCGCCCAAAGGAGGGCGGAGAAGGGTGGTGAGTAAATCTGGAGGGGAAAACAGAAGCCACCCCACAGAGCCACCAGTGGGTTATGAGAACTTAGCACACAGCCAAGTCCAAAGATTTAGTGAAGCGGGGGGTTGAGTGCCATGATTTTCAAGAGCCCTTTTGACTTTAAACACTGTTTTCCTGAAATACTACAATTAGCAGTAGTAAAACAAAACAATATTGTACAGCTAAGTCACTTACCTATGACAAGAAAGGCTAGCTTACACAGTTAATACTGATAACAATTAACAACATGGCCCCGGTCTGAATTTGGCTGCTCTGATTTTCAATTTCTCAGGCTCCCTGCCCATAACTTTATAAATCAAGGCAGGGACCCCCATGCGCCCCCCCTGAGCCAGCCTGTGCCTGAGCAAGAGGAGCAGCGTGGGTGCGGACAACCGGAAGATGATGGAGGGGGTGCTTCTCAAGGTGGAGAGTAAATGGACTGCTCCCCCCACAGTGGGACCCTTGAAATCAGGGAGAGCAGGGTCCCAAGGGCTGTCTCTAACTGGACACGGACTAAGAAATGACAATTAATTGACTGAAGACCTCTGGTACAGGCATCTAAAAAGTAGTGGGGAAAAATAAAATGGCAGATGTAGGAAGAAGGAAAATTCAAGAACCTGAATTTGTTCATTCAACGAACGAACCTACCTGAACACTTCATCTGTGTACTAAAGAGCACTTAGCACTTGCAAACACTCAGTACAAAGTGGCAAGTATTGTTATGTACAAAACAGGCTTGACTCAAGAGCTGTGGGAGCGAGTAAGTGAAGGAGTAAGGGCAGAGTGTGTAGGCAGGTGGCATACTGGAACTGAGTCTCAAAGGACAAGCAAGAGCCTGAGCAGCCTGGGTGATGGAACTAGAGAATTACTCTCCGACAAGACCGATCACAGATTCTGAAGCCTGTGGTTAGGCCTGATCGACGGGAGGGGCGTAAAAGTGACAGAATTAAAATGAGAGGAATCAGTTCATAATGGTTCACGGGAAGGAAGAGCAACTCATTTTCTCTGGTAGTTGCTAGAGATGCGCTCTGGGTGGGAAATGTACATTGTCCTTTGCTGAACTGTGGGTCCATCTAAAGTAACAGTCCATGTGGCACCCTTGACACCAGAAGGGAGATGGCTGTGGGTCACAGAACCACCTACACCACCCCACACATATGGTGTCCCCTTCCACGGCAAGACCAGAAGACTGGTGTCTCGAGCCAAATATGATGTAATCAGGGACAAGGACTCGGATCCCTTCATATCCGCTACATACCCTGATGCTGGAATTTTGGTTTGATGCACCAGGCACAAGAAGTCAATTTGGTCTTATGGTCCCTTCTAACTCTGCACTTAAGTTTTTATCTCTTTTACAGCCCAAGTTTTCAAATAACAGATTTTTAGGAAGCCGGTAAAAGACTTTTAATTTACAAAAACAGTTTACATTTCAGAAAGATTTCCATTAAAAAGCAGTTAAAGTGAATGTCCTGGTGTTTAATAAGTTTAAACTTTCAATTTTCTAGAACTTTCATTTATATAAAACCCTTACTGTGCCAATCTTCACAGGCCAAATAACAACGGTGTGTCATGGTGATGCCTTCCATTAATTTCTACCACAGCATGGACACATTAAAGTGAAGTAAACAATTAGGAAGATGATCTGAAAAAATAAGCCTTTCTATCCAATTAAATGAAGCGACACTAATAGGTCAGAAAACAGTATCAGTGAACTTTATATTACACTAACCTCCCTTTGCTTATTGGTGGGACTAGTTTAAGAAGTTAGTGATAAAGTTACAGATGAGGGGGCACCTGGGTGGCTCAGTTAGTTAAGCATCTGACTCTTGGTTTTGGCTCAGGTCGCCATTTCAGGGTTGTAAGATCAAGCCCCACATTGGGTTCCATGCTCCGCGGGGAGTCTGCTTGAGATTCTCTCCCTCCTCCCTCTGCCCCTCTACCACCCCCCCGTCAAATAAATAAATCTTTTTTTAAAAAGTTAGATGAGTATAGTTAGTAATATGTTTTCAGAGAAACTAAACACCTTTCTTAGACTTATGCTGAATCTTCTTCTAAATAGACACATATTTGGAGATAGTCATAGACATTGTAATATGAAAATAATAAAGCTATTTTTTGGAGTGCTCTTTAGAAACATGCTTGAATTAAGTGATGGCCCGTTAGTTATTTATTACTATTTTTAAAAAGATTTTATTTATTTGAGAGTGAGAGAATGAGAGAGAGCGAGAGAGCACATGAGAGGGGGGAGGGTCAGAGGGAGAAGCAGACTCCCTGCTGGTTCCATTAATTTCTTCCTGGGACTCGATCCTGGGACTCCAGGATCATGACCTGAGCCGAAGTCAGTTTGGTCTTATGGTCCCTTCTAACTCTGCACTTAAGTTTTTATCTCTTTTATAGCCCAAGTTTTCAAATAATAGATTTTTAGGAAGCTGGTAAAAGACTTTTAATTTACAAAACCAGTTCTCCCCACTGTACCATGCCTCGTGGGAGCCCTCCAGATCGGTGCAATGATAGAAATGTTCTCTGTGGGGAGAATCTTAGTATCTTTAAAATCATTACTGTCCAGAATGCTAGAGGGCATCACAGATGTTGAGAAGACCTTTCCACCTCCACTACTGGGACAGCACCCTCTCTTTCTCCGTAAGTTCTTTGCTGACGATGCCCTCTCAATGGTTGACATCAGAGGAAGGAATAGCTGTAACTATTTTATGTGAACTGATTTAATTATAGGTTCCAACTTGGAAAAGGGAGGGTTTTTTTGTTTGTTCTTGAGCTGCAGAGCGGGGCGGGCATATAATAATTCCACTTTTAAGAAGTGGCTCGGGGGCGCCTGGGTGGCTCAGTTGGTTGGGCAACTGCCTTCAGCTCGGGTCATGATCCTGGAGTCCCGGGATCGAGTCTCACATTGGGCTCCCTGCTCAGCGGGGAGTCTGCTTCTCCCTCTGACCCTCCCCCCCTCATTCTCTCTCTCTCTCTCATTCTCTCTCTCAAAAAAAAAAAAAAAAAAATAAAAAAAAAAAAAAAAGAAGTGGCTCGACTAACACTCTAAAAGTACAAGGTAAGAGATTTATGAATAGGAACCAGCCCACAGTGTGCTGTTATGCAGGAACACTGAGCAAAAAAGGAGTTTACAAAGGACAGTACATTCACTGCAGGTAACGGTGTGCACTTCCACTAAGAAAAGGTCTTATTTAAATGAAATGATATGATTTCCTAAATGAAGGAGAAAGCACAACACTGAGGAAGAAGACGGGCTAAGTGTAAAAATTATGGCCATATTAGACATTCTAAAATGAAAGACAAAAGGGAAATACAGGCAGAAGCAACCCAAGTGTCCGCTGTGGACGGATGCGTAAACAGAATGTGGTGCAGACGCACAGGGGAATATTACTCAGTCTTGAAAAGGAAGGAAGCTCTGACACCATGCTACCACACAGATGAACCATGAAGACACTACGTGGAGTGAAATAAGCCAGACACAAACAGACAAGCACCGTATGATTCCACCTTCTATAAAGTGGCTATAGTAGTCACACTCAAAGAGACAGGAAGAAGGATGGTGCTCACCGGGGGCTGGAGGGAGCTGGAAATGGGGGACTTATTGTTTATTGCATACAGAGTTCCAGTTTTGAAAAATGAAAAGGTCTGGAGGCTGGTTGCACGACAGTGTGAAGGGACTTGACACTGCCGAACTGTACACACTTAAAACTGATGAAGATGCTAAAATTTGTGATGTATTTTTTAGCACAATACGAAAATAATAAGGGGGTGCCTGGGTGGGTTAGTCGGCTAAGCATGTGCCTTCAGCTCAGGTCATGATCCCGGGGTCCTGGGATCGAGCCCCGTGTTGGGCTCCCTGCTCCACGGGAAGCCTGCTTCTCCCTCTCCCCCTGCCCCTCCCCTGCCCATGCGCACATGCACACACGCACGTCCTCTCTCCCTCCTCAAATAAATAAAATCTTAGTAACAAAAACAGAAGGGAAATGCACACCTTTCTTCGAAAAGCCCTCTAACTCTTAGACCACTTCCTGATCTCTTCCTCCACATTCCATGCTGACCCTACAGTCTCCCTCGGCTGCAACCAAAGTCGCTGGCTGCTCTGAACGTTTTCTAAGACTGAAATAATGGAATGCCACGGTGACAAAGCCAAATATGCAAAATACCTGGGTCAGTGGCAGAGATAATCGCTCCAAAGAAGAGACAATCTGTGTAGTAAAATTTATCCGAGAGTTGCCCCACAATCTTCATGAGCTTCACCACACCGTACATGAGGTTTCTGTAAGGAGGGAAGGGAAACTGTGTCAGAAGAGAAAACGAAAACCCTGCTCACTGAGTAGGCTGGCCAATGTGCAAGCAGCATAGCCCGGAGGACTGTGCACCTCAAGGGTGCTCCGTGAAAACCCTGGCAGCTGTTGTCATTGGGCGTTTACCAGGAACATGTGCAAATAAGACTTTGGCACCAAGTAATGGTTCGCAGTCAACGCCATCTTGCTGAAACAGGTGAACACGACTCCACTGCTTAAAGTCGTGCTTACTTACCACTATCAAGTATGGGCCTCGATGAGCAACAACTTTAAGGCATCTGAAGCAGCTGGGTAATGGAGGAGAAGGCAAGGGAAGGGAAAGACCGCTTCACAGTGTGTAATCGGTGGCTTGTACAAAACTGACAGGATTCTAAGGCAGTGTGTTTAAAGCTGTGGAAATGAGCGTGCGCTGGACAAGCTAGAGAGAAAAACAGATATGGGCAGGCCACGGAGGTCCAAGTGACCAACCTTCTCCGCCAAGAATTATTTCAAAAAAAAAAGGGGGGGGGGAGGAGCAAAAAACGCTGTAAACATCCTAGTAAAGTCTCAGTGTACCCATCGGTACAGCGGGCGTCTTATTCTCTGCAGGGGTTAAGGCAGGCCGGCAGGGGCCCTTCTCGTGCCATGCAGGGTGTGACATGGTCCAAGACAGACTCCCAAGTTAGACAGTTCCACTTGGCCAAGGCACATTTCCTACAGGAGAGCTTAGAAAATGGGAGGAGTGAGGAGTGCTAAAAGGCCTAGTACATGTTACTAAGGATGTGTGTGTGTGTGTGCGCGCGCGCGCGTGTGTGTGTGTGGTGGTGGCAGGGGTTAGGGGAATAAAAATAATGACAGAATAGATTCACTGTACCCTACAGCTAACACTAATAATAATATTCTTGCCACTTAAGGACCACGCCATGGCTCACCTGCTCAACTTTGTATCCTGGGCACCGAGAACAACAGACTGACTAAGCTAGGAGCTCAGGAACTGTTTCCAGAATGGAATCCTTTGGAGAGTATATAGCTAGAACTCAGTGCTTCCCTACTGTGGGCCGGGCACTGTTCCAGACACTTAAACAGTTCAATTTCGATTCCCAGTAACTCTGTGAGGCAGATGTGATTTACCTTTTGTTGCCTGTTTAAGCCTTCTTTGCCCTTCCTTTCAGACATTTCCTGAAACTACATCTGCTTCTCCATTTCCTTCGACCACAAACAGACTTGGGCGCGGGGCTGCTCTCTGGCAACCTTTTCCCATCTTGCCGCCAATACCGGTCAGCTAACCTGTCACTCTTCAGTGGCTTGTCTCTCTTAAAGGACAAGTCCAAGCCCCTCCTATTTGGGCGACTCAAAAGGCCCTTGGCCTTTTATCTCCTCCAGCTTTCCAGCTCATTTTTTTAAAAAGTAACTAAGGTCCGTACTTTACTCTGATTTCCTTAAGCTTTTACCTAATGTCCCTTTTCTGTTCCAGGACCCCATCCAGGATCCCACACGACACTTAGTCATCATGTCCCTTCAGTCTCCTCTTGGCTGGGACGATCTCTCCAACTTTGTGTGGTTTTGATGACCTTGGCAGTTTTGAGGAATAGGGGTGGGGTATTTTGTAGAATGTGCCTCAACTGGGACTTATCTGATCTTTTTTTTTTTTTCCTCTTCTCAAGATTACACCGAGGTAATATGTTTTGGGGAGGGAAAGGGCCATTCTCATCACAAACACCAAGGGTGCAGAGTATCAGCGTGATTTACCACTATTGCTGCTGATCTTGATCATCTGGCTGAGGTGGTGTATGTCGGGTTTTCCCCACTGTAAAGCTACGCTTGCTTCCTCCTTTTTCCCTGGTGTCCTCTGTGGGAGGAAGTCACTAGGCACAGCCTGCAATCAAAGCGGGAGGGGACATAAGCTCCCTCTCTTGCGGGGTGGGGGTGGGGTCGACATAAATTATTTGGAATTCTTCTGCACAGGAGATGGGTTACTTCTCTGCCATGTATTTATTCATCCAATCATTTATTAACATTCGTAGAGACTCAGATGTTTACTTTATAGTTTGGGTCCAGTACAACGTTATTTATTTTGTTGTTCTCTGGCCATTGGCCTTAGGGGAGCCTTCGGGTTGGCTCTGTGTCTCTTTGACACGCCCCAAGTCCTTTTGTTTGTTTTCTGGGCGCTTCCTTACTTCTTGGCACTATGATATGCTCTATTCTTATCTTGTATATTTGCTGCCCCAGCCCTAGAATCGGCTATTTCTACAAAGTGCCCTGGTTCTTTTTACTGGAGAATGTTATCAGGAACCAAGATCTGGGGACTAGGTGTAAATTTTATTTCATTTTAGTTTACCTTAATCTTAATTTAAACAGCTACACATGGCTAACAGCTACCATGCTGCACAACGTAGCCCTAGATCTTAACTGCCATCATCATAAACATCGAAATCCTGGACTCTGGTGGTTGTCAGGGAATGGGGAGATGTTGCTCAAAGCATACAAACTTCCAGTTAGAAGAGTAACAACTTTGGGGATCTGAGGTACATCATGGCGATTGTCGGCAATAATACTATATCATATACTTGAATTTTGCTAAGACGGTAGGTCTCAAACGTTCTCATCACAAGAAAGAAATGGTAACTATGTGACAGGATGAAGGCGGTAGCTAATACTAGGGTGGTAATGATTTTGCAATTTATAAATATATCAAATCAACACACTGTCCACTTGAAACTCACACAATGTAATGTGTCAATTGTATCTCAATATAGCTGGGGAAAACACTGGACTCTGCGGGCCCCTGTGGATCTCATCTCTTTGGAAAGTTATGTTAATTTGATTAATGACAAAGAGTAACTTACCCGATAATGAAGCAGGAAACGGCAGTCCCCAAGAATGCATAAGCCAGAATAGACCCAAGATTTCTGAAAAAGTGTCTCTGAATAAAACAAGAGGCAGGAATCACACTGTGATTTCTGATATTGAGCACAGGAAATGCAACAAAATCTCTTAAAAGTGAAACTTGACTTACGGCTTCCATTATAACAAGTAATAACTGAAGTTACTCCATTATAACAAGTAATAACTGAAGTTACTCCGGAATAAAGCTATTTAGCTATAAACATTGTGGTTTTAAAATATCCCTGGTCCTATAATCACTGAGCAAGCAAGCAAGCAAGGGCTTAGTAAATTTCAGAGAAAACTACTCTGATTATATTAAGTTACACTGAGAAAGTGTATGTGTGAGTGTAAGAGTGTGTGTCTGTGTGTTTAAGGAGACTGATCGTTTTCATAGATCTAACCCAAACTATTTTACTCTTTTACTCTAGTGATTCAGCAAGTCACTTCCAGGTCTAGTGTACCTTAGAAGATCATTATAGATAGAAGTTTGAAAATGATGAAGTATGAAAGTGCTGCCTAAGGGGCTTTCTGCTTAATTCAGTCTCAGAAAACTGTGCCAAGTATCTGGCCTCATGGCATCTGAAGTGTCTCCTGATATTCTTCTGGATTAATCTTTGGAGCCTGGGAAAGATGGCCAATAGAGATGGAAGTGGAGAAATGAAAAATAGATAGTTCCATGTAAGATGGGCAAATTTATAAGTTTATATATAGTATATAAGCATATATACTTATACCAATGTAAGATCTAGCAATTATTCAGAAAGAGATGGCAAAATTGCAATCCTCTCAATGCTTCTGTATATTCACTGGTTACCTTCACACACACACACACACGAATTTACTTCTCATAAAGTCATTAAGCCTGTGGGAGATTCTGATGGGGAAAATCCCTGTTCCTGGGACACTAAGGCACGGTTCTTACCCCTCAAGGCACAGGCTGTTCTCATTGGACAATCAGAACTACTTCACAAAACCAGACAAACAAAAACCCCAAAACAACCTAATTTGATAGGGGCCGGGAATACTTTATTTAAAAATTTTAAAAGGCGAGGCACCTGAGTGGCTCAGTTGTTAGGCATCAGCCTCCGGCTCAGGTCATGATCCCGGGGTCCTGGGATCGAGCCCCGCGTTGGGCTCCCTGCTTGGTGGGAAGCCTGCTTCTCCCTTCCCCACTCCCCCTGCTTGTGTTCCCTTTCTCGCTCTGTCAAATAAATGAATAAAATCTTTAAAAAAATTTAAAAGGCAAGAGAGTCCCAGTGTGCCAGCTGAGCGACATCAGGGAAGGACAGGGTCTTAGGGAGAACTCAGCATGGATCAAGTAGACACCAGGAAATGTGACCACACAGAGGGCTGTGGGTATCCTCTGGCCAGTATTCTAAGCAGACAATCTGAGGCCTTAGCTTCAGCCTTCTCCAGTGCTTGGCCCTCCCCGAGGCTGTGAAGAAGGTGTCAAGGAACGCCTAGTGCCCCTAAGCCACCTGCTCAGAAGAGAATCCTTCAAGGGCTTGCCACACCGACAGTCACCAAATGAGGGTGCTGCCTATATATATTACGGACACGCTATGTTTGCCTTTTAAGTCAGTCGCTGTCCCCAGTCTTTTTTTTTTTTTTAAGTCAATGTATTTATCCACTTGTGTTTCAAAAAAATTAGATTTCAGGAAAAAAAAGGAATCAACATCTATGAGCCTAATTGCCTTTAAAAAAGCTCAATCAAGGGCTTACATCAGGGAGGGTTAGGAGTCCATCAAGATAGACCTGAGGCCAAGGCAACTCACGTGAAGTATCCAGGAACAGATTTTAATCCCAGAATTGCTTTCCCTTGCCATTCGGCTCTCTTTTAGGTAAACCATCCCTATGGTTGGTTTGAATACATTAAGTAAATTCAAATTCATATTTGCCAAAACAAAAAATCAGGAATATAAGAGCTGCAGATTCTCCTCCTGGAAGGTTAGATCTCAGGGAATGTGGGCTGCTGAAGATCTGGTAGTGCTTGTGGGGCCCCAGGGAGGAAGGGGGTGCACGTGCTGGGTAGCCCAGCTCTGAGCTCACAGCTGCTCCAGAGCCTACACACGACAGGCGGGTCTCAGGGTCGTGTGAGAGGGACCAGCTCGGACTAGAGCCTGGTGGAGCCTTTATTATCCCTGTGCCGCGCCTGGAGGGCATCTCGATTGTAGGGCGTGCTGGATTCGGGTCCCCGGGGTGGGTGTGGGAGTGAGGGGCGATGCAAAGTGCACCCTTCGGTGCGCTTGTGCGACGTCGTGGGCCGGAAGAAAGTGGGAATGAGGGAGGTCCGGGACCCACCCGAAGAGGAGAGCCCGCGTGTTAGTAGAAAGATGGGTCTGTGCTTCAGATTGCGTTTGCAGGTAGAGCCGACTCTGAGCCCTAGTCTGTGGGCCTGGGGAGAAACTAGATGTTGCGGGTGGTCGAGGGGTCCAGATGTGGGGGGGATCAGGTGTGCACCACAGCTCCTGGGCTTGCCAGGGGCAGGACGGGCCGGGTCAGGATACCTGGGCGTAGGTGCGAGGCAGGTGAGGGTGCACCTCTAGCAGGACCAGCATCACTGAGATGCCTTCTCAGCTGCACTCTGGTGGTGCAGGGGGGCAGGGTGGCCGCAGTGCACAGGTGCAAGTGTTGGCTGCACACAGAGCGTGCTGCTTCTCGCGCTCATCAGTGGCGTGGCGAGTCCCCGCGCGGAGAGCCTGGGCACAGACGCCAGACCTCCATCCCCTCCACGCGGCCACCGCACCTGACGCGCGTCTTCGCCCCGGCCCGCCCGCGTCGGGAGGAGTGGCTTGGCTCAGTGTGGACGCCGGAGAAGCCGACTCCACGCTGCCCAGTGATTCTCTCGTGGTCTCATTTGTCTCAGAGATTGTTCCAGCGCACACGTGAGGGTGTTTTCAATCACAAATTTGTTTGAAAATGAACGAGTGAAAATATTTTAAATGGGCACAACGATAGGTGTTTGAATGATTTGTGATAATGGACTAGGGCCTTTGAAACTGTTATCTTAAATGTGTATTTCTTGATAAACAAAGGTATCTTTGACCCATATAAATAAAAGCAGTTATCTCACACACACACACACACACACACACACACACACACACACACATTAGGACTATAAATCTGCCACTTCAAATACACCCATAAGATATTCTAAAATGACACACACACATACATACACACATACACACACAATTGGCCATCGCCATTCATATTTGCTGATATGAACTGGAATTTTACACCTTGATAAGAAAGGTAGACCATGTCACTTATTTGTGTATTATTACACCAAGTGCTCGACTCTCGACTTCCCAGTTTAAAAAGTACTTTCACAGAGTAGCCCATCCAATTCTCACGAAGGTGCTCTTGGGGACCACCGTGCATGAGAGGCATCTAAGGCTCAAAGGTGTGGAGTGAGCCGCCCGGAGTCACGCATCTGCCAAATGGCAGCACCAGACCCGGAAAGCGGGTCTTCTGAGCGCAGAGCATTACACTCACACCAGCCACCCTTCTCGACTCCTACCACATCCTTTTAGGGAAGAAAGTACGGCACCTCCTAGTCCTAGTCCTGGCTGCTAGTGGAATCCTAGGTCTTTCCTCTTCTTCTTAATTGGCCAGTCACGTGGGGTTGCCATGGCCATGACTGGTTCAGTCTCCCCTACTTTTCCCTCTCCGTTCCAGGCTGGCAAAAAGAGACAAAGGAGATGGCGTGCCCTGGTAAAGGCTTCAAGAATATGAGCCTAAAACAGATCAGGATGAGAAGGTGCACCATTCTAAGACTTGCATTTCTACTCCTCCTCCCATTCCTCACTGGGGAATGTTACCATGAGATGCAGAGCCACGGAGCCAGAGAGAGAGAGAGACCGAGAGAGAGTGAGCTTGGCGGGAGAAGTGTGCAGAACGTGAAGGCGCCTACAGGTGAATTCTTTCCCTGACAACAGGCCCCACAAGCAAACGGAGCTGTAGCACAAAATCAAAGGTAATTCCGATGATATTTTTTCAAGTTGGAAAAAAAAAAAACAACAAAGGCCCGTGTCCACATGACAACTATAGGTGCATAGGTCAAAGGGTCTGAATATATCTGTTTCCATACCCGCGGTCAAGTGGTAGAATGGTTATTACACAGTTAATTGATGGCAGCTTTAATCACAGATGGCAAAACCATCTACAAACCAACTATTTCAGTGCCACCCTAAGGACTGCTTAAAAAGGAAAGAGACTGAACTGATAGCAGACAGCCCGAAAGACTGGCACTGCAAAAACAACTTAAATTGCTAACTGGCAAAGCCTGTTATTTGTTTTTCTTCTGGGAAAATGAGGCTGACAGAGGGAAGGCTCTGCAGAACCTAGAGTGTTTTTCAGCCCGTAGAACGGCTTTCACAACCAGTGATTTGGTCTCATTTTAAAGCAGCTATGACCTTGATGATACATTAAGATTAGTTATTTAAGATATCAAATTAGTCATCACCCATTTGATCTGATAAGAAGTTCCCAAATTCTTCACTTAGATTGAGAATAACATTGCTTATACCCATAAAATCATGTCCTATCTGTGACGTGTCAATAGCTGACATATAGATTTAGATACTATGACAACCCCATAGAGTAGGCAGGAAAAAGATATATCTTTTGGTACAGAAAACCTAAATCCGGAGGCGCAGTAGGATAGATAGGGATAGCTTTTTTTTTTTTCAACTTTTTATTTTGGAGTAATTACAAATTCACAGAAATTGCAAAGATAGTATAGAGGGGTCCCGTGTACCTTCACTAAGTTTCCTCCCCCAGTTATACCTTATATAACCGTAGTACAAGATCAAAACCAGGAAACTGACATCGGGACAAAGTGTGTGAATAGTTCTGTGTCATTTTATCGTATGTGTAGATTCATGGATCCACTGCTGTGATCAAGACGCAGAACTGTGCCATCACCACCAAGACCTCCTTTACAGTCACAACCCCCTCGCCCCCAACATCCCTAACCCACAGCAACCACTAATTTGTTCTCCATCCCTATACTTTGGTCATGCCTAGAACGTTAAATAAATGAAATCATACAGTACGTGACCTGTTGAGGTTAGATTTTGTTTTGTTTTGTTTTACTCAGCATAATGACTTTGATGTACATCCGAATTGTTGTGTGTGTCAGTAGTTCCATTTTATTGCCGAGTAGTAGTCCACGGTATGGCTGTGTGTTTAACCGTGCGTGCACCTAGGGCAAAACGTTTTGGTTGTTTCCAGTTTGGGACTCTTATGAATAAAATGCTATGAGCAATTATGTGAGAGCTTTTGTGTGAACGCAAGTTTTCACTTCTCTGGGAGAAGTCCTCAGGAATGAAACTGTGGGGTCATATGGTAATTTCAACTTCAGCTTTGCTAGAAACCATGAAACTGCTTTCCAGAGCGGCCACGCCAGCTTATATTCCTATCGGCGACATAGGAGCACTCCAGATTTTAAAACAGAGCTGCATCACTGAGGATGAGACAACTATAATCTCTGAGTGGGTGCAGAACACAGTAATAAGCAATGTGGGAGAAGGGAAAAACCTGAAAATTATGTAGGTACTTTAACACAGAGATCCCCATGCTTTAAGAAATACTTGCAAAAACCTCTTACCTTCTTTAGACTGTAGCCAGCGTGGAAAATAATTGGAGGCAGAAGGATGTTGAAAAAGACCTCCGGATCAAACGTTACCTGAAAGTTTAAAAAGAAAAAAGTCGGGGGGTGTGTGTCTGACTGGCTGAGTTGGTACGGCACGCGACTCTTGATCTCAGGATCATGAGTTCAGGCCCTGAGTTGGGCATGAAGCCTACTTAAAAAAAAAAAAGAAAAGAAAAGAAAAGTCAATTTCCAGTTTAATACCAGTTGGTGCACTCTGAAAAACTGAGGGTTCTAGAGGGTAGGGGGGTGGGGGGATGGGTTAGCCTGGTGATGGGTATTGAGGAGGGCACGTTTTGCATGGTGCACTGGGTGTTATGAACAAACAATGAATCATGGAACACTGCATCAAAAACTAATGATGTAATATATGGTGATTAACATAACAATAAAAAAATTAAAAAAAAAATACCAGTTGGTGCTATAATATCTGCTTAATATTTTCAGCCACTGACTAAAGTTTGAATATTCGAAGCAAATAAGATAAATGTGAAAAATCGTGGACTCGTCACAAGAGAGATGCCACAGTTCCCCCTGTGGATGGCCATGTTCTTCTCCATACAGCACTCTGACTCCTGCTCTTGGTGTGTTGTTTAATATATATTAAGAAATAACAGTTCAGGGGCGCCTGGGTGGCTCAGTTGGTTAAGTGTCTGCCTTCAGCTCAGTCATGATCGAGCTCCACGTCGCACTCCCTGCTTGGCAGGGAGCCTGCTTCTCCCTCTCCCACTCCCTCTGCTTGTGTTCTCTATCAAATAAATAAGTAAATAAAATCTTAAAATAAAAAAGAAATTACAGTTCAGTGCAATTTTGAGGACTCACAGAAAGCTTCTGGCCGACATTTTTTAAATGAGAAATAAAAACATCTTGATTTTTATCAAGCCTTTATAAAGGTTCAACTGCAATAAAAGATGCTGTCACGATTCTTTATTAATTTTCTGGATCCTCCCACAGAACCACTTATTGACACTGTTCTACTGAATTTAAGTCTCTTTTGAGTGACCAGCCTTTTGTGAGACCTGATGTGGCCTGGATCAGTGTCGCCAACGACGCTAGCAGCTTTCTCAACATCAACATGAAAATTCGGCGGCTCTAGGGGGACTGAAATTACTTTGTAGGCTCGATACCCAGAAATCACTCTGAAACTACTAAGGAGCAAAATCTTATCACATCCAGAAAAGAATTAAGCAGTCTATACACATCCCAAACTTTTTAAAGAATTTGTTCATGTTGGTAGATTGACTGGCTCTTACTGAAATTAATTTTAAAGCTTCACTCTAATTATTAAAAGTCAACTTAGGGGGCGCCTGGGTGGCTCAGCCGGTTAAGTGTTCGACTCTTGATTTCAGCTCAGGTCACGATCTCAGGGGTCATGAGATGGAACCCTGTGTGGGGGGGACTTAAGATGCTCTCTCTCCCTTTCCCTCTGCCCCTCCCCCCACCACTCTCGGTCTCTTAAAAGAAAAAAAAAGTCAAGTTAGCATTTCTCTTTAGAAACTGGAAATGTTAACCAGCCTAATTAAAAGTGAAATGGTTCTGGGGCGCCTGGGTGGCTCAGTTGTTAAGCGTCTGCCTTTGGCTCAGGTCATGGTCCTGGGGTCCTGCAATCAAGCCCCGCATCAGGCTCCCTGCTCAGTGGGAAGCCTGCTTCTCCCTCTCCCCCTCCGCCTGCTTGTGTTCCCTCTCTCTCCGTGTGTCTCTCTGTCAAATAAATAAATCTTTGAAAAAAAAGTGAAATGGTTCTTGCAAATTACATTTTATTCGATCTTCTTGCTGAAGACAGGAGTAGTGTGAAAAACAGGGAACGTCAGAATGAGAAAGGGCTTTGGACAACACTCAGTATGAGGACGCTGGGGCCACAGTCACGTGGGAACCAGCACGAGCGTTTCCTGCCACCTACTCCAACCCTGTGCATCAAGCTGCCTCAGCACATCTCTTCGCCCCTTAGCTAACAACAACGATCTCAGCCTTGTCTGCTCTCCCACCTTTGCTTCGTGCAGCAAAGTTTAAACGGAAGGGATGTGAATCAACCTTTTCCTAAAGGTAGTAGGAGCGAAAGTCAGCGTCACCTTCTATTATGATCTAAAAGATGGAAATGGGTTGGGTTCTTTTCCCTTTTCTCCCCTGTCCTATCCAGGACCGACTCAAGCTGCCATTTCAAAACAGCCATGAGCACGGTGATTGCACTGAATAGCTTTCTCGGTTGCATTTAATTTCACAAATGTTTATGGAAATCCCAGGCATTCTTATGAGGGGTTGAGAGAGAAGAGTTCACTAGGACTGCCTTTAAGGACACAGAGAAGATGGGCATTATGCTCCTGGTTGAGACTAATTTTCCTTAAGGATTAGGGTAGATCCTAGAAACAGTAAGAATTTAATTTGCAGAGCACAGGCTACACCCTGCCTTTGACCGCAAGCCTTCACACGCATTAGCCTTGTTCTATGTGAAAAGAGACTCCCCACAACCTGGATCGCCCAGAGCTTAGACAGAAGCCTCCCTGCTGATAAGCCTGGGTCTACAGAATAAGAGACTATAAGTGGATAAATACAGATCTCTTGCTTCTCTTGGAAATCACCCGAGTGAAGAGATACATGATCCCTTGGTCGTGTATTTTAGCTACCCCCAACGTCAAATGAAAAACAGTTATTGGACTCAAATCCTAAGACAACAAGGTATTTCCCCCTCCAAAGATTCATTAAGCCTTTGGCATCACTCACCAATGAGAATGGGCACTAAGTAAGTATCTGTAGAATACGGCAAAAGAACCAGGAAGAACTAAGAATTACAATCGGGAACACTGAATAAATGAGCTTAAAGTGAAACCGATCTCTTTTTTTAAGATTTTTATTTATTTATTTGAGAGAGCAGGAGTGGGGGGAGAGGCAGAGGGAGAGGGAGAAGCAGACACCCCACGGAGCAGGGAGCCCGACTCAGGGCTCGAACCCAGGACCCCGGGATCACGACCTGAGCCAAAGGCAGATGCTTAACCGACTGAGCCACCCAGGTGCCCAAAGTGAAACCAATCTTATTTTTTTTTAAAGATTTTATTTACTTATTTGAGAGAGAGAATGAGATAGAGAGAGAGAGCATGAGAGGGGGGAGGGTCTGAGGGAGAAGCAGACTCCCCGCTGAGCAGGGAGCCCGATGTGGGACTCGATCCTAGGACTCCAGGATCATGACCTGAGCCGAAGGCAGTCGCTTAACCAACTGAGCCACCCAGGCGCCCGAAACCAATCTTATTTTAAGAAAGAAACAACCCCATCCTTAAACCCTAACAAGAGACATCGTAAGGAAGACATGGGCATGGATAGACAGGCTGAATGGTGACGTACAAACCACAGCACAACATGGCGGCCCACGTCAGCTCCTGATCCTAACAAAGCTGACAGGCTCAAGTTCACATCTGGTTCTTTCTTCTCCTCATCAGAGCCCCAAAGCTTCCTAGCAAAACTGGGAGCCAGGAAGGTACCCATGCTCTAGGAGTTTGCAAGGATTTCTCTCCCCAAGGCCAAGATGGAATCAGGAAGTCAAAAATCATGTCAGGACCCCAATGGCTGAGTGTTCCCCAGCTCACCTTCCTCAGCATGTCATTCTGCTCTACACTGTTGATCTTGCCGGGGCTGATTTCTCCTTTCAGGGTGTATTCAAAGAACTTCCCGCTGACATTCACTAATAAGGTGCTGAAGGCCCTGTCTTCCTGAGTACAGCTGAGTGACTTGTCATGACCGCTGGTGGCAGGGGTGCCGTACCTCAGGATCACCCCAACGATGAGCCCTGAAACAGAGTGTGGGGGGGAGAACAAACCATCAGGCCTGCAGAAGGACAGAAAGAGCACGGACATAATGACACAGTGGATTTGCAACAACTAAGAAACGCAGAAGTAATCTTAGAGCCCAGGCACTAAGTGTGTATTTTAGGAGCAGCTGCATGGTCCTTCTAAAGGGTTAACCTCCTCCAGCACGAGTCCCTCATCCACCAGGAGGATGCGGTAGGACAGTACCTTTCCTGGTTATCACGGCACTGAGTATCTTTCCCAAGTGATCGTGTCTCGTTTCTCAGGCTTCTGAGGTAGGAAGATGGAATAAGAAGCAAAGTCATTTCTGCCAAGGACAGCACAAAGCAGAACTGCTGAGCTTTGATCTGTACCAGCAACAGCCCTCAGGCCAGTCCTGTGGCCATCTGCCAGCAAGGACCAGGCCACAGGAATTTCTAGCTCCTAAAAATGCAACTTGCTTTTTGCCACACACCCAAGGCAGGGGGGCGGGGGGAAGACGGAAAGAAAAGAAATGCTTTTGTTTAGGTCACTGCAAGTACTGGGTATCAAGGAGGAAGTAATTATACCCCTCGGGGAGCTAAACACCACAGTGCAAATGTATATGATCATGGTTCCAGGACTACAGAGCTGTCTTCTTAGGGCTGTGGCTACGATACAGCTAAAATAATTAGCTGCGAGTCTTTAGGTCTCATTCCGGTCTCAGGTGGGGGTTCCCATTAGGGGAAAAAAAAAAAAAAAACTCAGCAAAACTGTGGATAAGCATGTGATTCCACAGCGAAGGAGTGTTGCTCCCTTGGTCCTGGACAGAAGGCCCATACGCTACAGTAAAAGTGAGTGATATGTGAAGAAAACATAAATCGCCACAAGACACTTTCTACAGTTCTGAGGGCGAAGATTTCTGACTTCTCTCTATAGTCAGTTCTTTGCTAGCGGTATTAAAAGACAGAATGCTAAAAATGCTCCCCATCTCATTTTGCCGTTAATGGAGCAAGTTCCATGAGAAAAAGAAAGTTCTACGTTTACTATATTCTGTGCATAATGTTCTATAATGTCTCTTATCACCAAGACATATGAGAACTCAAGACATTGTTGAAGAACAATATGTGAAATCTAGAAAAATACAGTTTTTTTAAAAAGAATTTATTTATTTATTTTTTATTTAACAGAAAGAGAGAGAGAGAGAGGGAGAGAGTACAAGCAGGCGGAGTGGCAGGCAGAGGGAGAGGGAGAAGCAGGCCTCCCCGCTGAGCAGGGAGTCCAATGCGGGGCTCGCTCCCAGGACCCCGGGATCATGACCTGAACCAAAGGCAGACGCTTAACCGACTGAGCCACCCAGGCACCCTTACAGTTCTTTATTTTCCCCAAGATTTTATTTATTTATTTGAGAGAGAGTGTGAGCACAAGCTTGGTGGGTGGGGGGGGGCAGAGGGAGAGGGAGAATCAGACTCCCCACTGAGCAAGGAGCCCGATGCGAGGCTCGGTCCCAGGACCCCGGGATCATGACCTGAGCCGAAGGCAGATGCTTAACCAACTGAGCCACCCAGGTGCCCCTAGAAAAATACAGTTCTGTAAGCCAAACTCTGTGTCTGTACTGCATTATTATTATTATTATTATTAAAGATCCGTATTAACAGATACTTGCACCTGGTTGACTTTTGTGGAAAATAAATTATAAAAGTTTATTACAAATTAAAAACGAGGTTCTTAATCATCTCAAGCAGATATAAAACAGTTTTAAAACCTTTAAAGGTTGGGGCACCTGGGTGGCTCAGTTGTTAAGCGTCTGCCTTCACTCAGCTCATGATCCCGGAGTCCTGGGATCGAGCCCCGCATCGGGCTCCCTGCTCCGCGGGAAGCCTGCTTCTCCCTCTCCCACTCCCCCTGCTTGTGTTCCCTCTCTCGCTGTGTCTGTATCAAATAAATAAATAAAATCTTTAAAATAAATAAATAAAACCTTTAAGGGTGTAGAAGAAAAAGCCAGCCTTTAAAGAAAAACATGTTGATCATTACAAAAAAAAAAAAGATATCGTCTTTTGGGGAAAAAACAATAAAAACCCCATAATGCAGCTCGTTCGGGTCATCAGGTTACGGGGAAAGCACTTGAGGTCTTCAGCACCGATCTTTTGTTCAGGTCTTATTTGCTGGCACTTCATATTCATTTCTTCTTGTTGGGTGACTAACCGGGATGATGTCGGAGATGGTAAGCTAGCACTTAGTCTCTCCCTGCTCAGCCTCCGAAAGGACTTCCCTTTGCTGCGGCCTCTCGGCCATCTTGCAGGTCAGAGTTTCCTGGGTGTCTGTGCTGGTAACTGAAGTTGGGGAGGTCCCTACACTGAGGTGGCTGCTGATCGTGGGTCCCTTCTCCTTGATTTTCCTGCTCCCCTTCATGAGAATCCCAAGTTTCTAACCTTGATGGACAGTCTGTCTCCCTGGTCTACTTTGTTCTCCTGTACCCTGGTTGTCAGTGCCCTTCACCCTTCGCCCTTCGCCCTACACAGGAGGCTTGGAAGACTCTGGTCAACACTCATAGGGTCTCTGTACGGAGTAAGGTGTGCACTGCTGGGCCTGGCGCCCTCTTTCTTTCCCCACCATTCTCCACAACAGTTGCTGCCTCTGCACCCTTTCCTCTGTCAGGAGCATCGAACCACACAGTTTCTCTACCCTCTGCGCTGGGAAGGTGCTTCCTGGGGGTTCTCTTCCTTATGGCAGTCTAGTGGACAAGTATATATAGCTTGGTGTCATTCCTGTGGATGAAACCGGATTTGTTTCTGACACTGAACCATTTTACTATTCTTTACACTTTTGTCACGATGACCTTCTTGTCCCTGCTGGTGGGTCACCACTCCCTCCACCCTGCCCATGGAGCCACGTTGGGTGGTGGCAGGGCTGAGGAGGGGTGGCAGGAAGCTGCTGGGCCCCAGCCCTGCTGCTCAGGGTCACAGTGCTGGGGATGGTGACCAGGGCTGGCTGTGGCAGCCGCAGCTCCTCCCTGGGCAGGATGGTGATGAGGTCACCAGAGTGGGGTTCTGCTCAAGGTTCTCTGGGGTTGCTCTCCACTCCGGATGGAGCTCATGTTGGTTTTTATTATTATTATTATTATTATTATTATTATTATTTCTTCTTCACTCCTTGGTCAGGCAGTTATTTTCTGATCAAGTTTTACATGACAAGAGATGATTCCATAGCCCTTCAACACTCATCATAATGCAGGATGACCTGCAGAGTCTGAAGGCTACCTGCCACACGATTTCACTTTCATGTCTTCATCAGGAAATCAAAGTAAATCATTTACAGAAGACTATCCTCCTTCCAAATCAATAGCTGCTTCCCAGAACCCAGAACTCACGGTTTCTTTATGGTATTACGGTATTACCTCATTGTTACTGGAGGTAACTAGAAGGTAAATCATGCTAGCACAGGGTCTTCACGATGACTACTACTCTAATGAAAGATGAGGCATGATACTGTCATTTAGAATAGGAAATATATTTGGTCTTTGTCCCAACTGGGACACCTGATACAGAGCTCCTAAAACCCTTGGAATCGGGGAGTGCCACGTGTCTTTTTGTATGCTAATAAGATGACTGGTGGTTGGAGGCTCCTGCATTATCCACAGGATGGGAGCTGGTTGCCAAGGGAACGAACTTTATGATTACAGAGTTGAAAAATTAAACCCCGCCCCAAAACTCCAGGTAGGGGAGAGGGGCAAGAGGTAGAGTTAATCACTAATGGCCAATGAGTTAATTAACCATGCCTAAGTAATGGAGTCTCCATAAAAATCCCCAATGGGGGCTCAGACAGCTTCTGGGTTGGTGAACATGTGGAGGTGTGGGGAGGGTAGTGCACCCAGAGAGGGCGCGGAAGCTCTACACTCCTTCCTTCATACTTTGCCCTATGTATCTCTTTCATCTGGCTGTTCCTGAATTATATCCTTTTATAATCAACCCGGAATAAAATAAGTAAACTATTTTCCTGAGTTCTTTGAACCATTCTACAAATGACCGAACCTGAGGAGGGCGTCATGGGAACCTCTGATGTGTAGCTGTTCGGCCAGAAGTGCAGGTGACCACCTGGGACTTGTGATTGACATCTGAAGTTTGAGGGGGGCTCTTGTGGGACTGAGCCCTTACCCTGTGGGAGCTGATGCCATCTGCAGGTAGTGTCAGAATCGAGTTGAATCACAGGACAACCAGTCACTACCCATCAGAGAGCTGGAGAACTGCTTGGCGTGGGAAAATCCCCACACATCTGGTTACAGAAGTGTTGGCTGTGAGTATTGTATAAAGGGGAAACAGGAAATTTTTCCTTATAGGAGTTTTATATTTGCAGACAAATTCCTCAATTACAGGAAATGCCCTCGTATTCTCCTCTCTCCAGTAACCATCACCATCATACTAGAAGTGCTATTAACTGATGAATATTGTTTTTATGTACTGACAAAATGTTTCCCTCCCTACCGGGGCCCAATGCACCCATTTTAAAGATGAGAGACAGTGAAGGCGATGCTGCTGCCCCCTTGTGGGAAAATGTGGCAACATAAAACACCACAGCAAAGACACAAGGTCAACACCCATCCTGAGAGTTTTGACCAAAATGATACCAAGCAACAGGATACACTGCTAACTCAAGGCAGATTTTGAGTTACTCCTCAAGCATCTTAGATTCATATTTATTATCACTGTAGTTCATGGCACAAAGAAACAGAGTCATCGCTATGATATTAAGTTCATGTTTACTGTCTTCCACTTCAAGAAAGAGTAAGATATTAGGACTGCGGAGGTGCATTTTGGTAAGAAAAGGATAAAGGTGTACAAAAATCAAAAATGGCATATTTTCATCTGCTAGATCTGGAAGACATCCTCTGACAGGGAACTGTAAAAAGGTCCTAACTACAAGGAATTAAAACAAAACATTAAGTTTCTTTAAAAGCTCAAAAAAGTCGGTATCCATGCAAAAAAATGATGGAGATCAACAAAGGCATTGAAGATTTTACGGATCA